ACCTCAATGGCATGAAGTTGTCGTGGTCCCTTGAGTGGATCCGCGCATAAGTTTTTCAAGAGGAGTTTTGGAGGAAGGAGCTGACCTCCGCTGTCGGTGAAGGTGGTGGCTCTGCCTACGGCATGAAGAGCTTCAAGGGGCGTGGCAGTAAGAAAGGGAAGGCCAAGGAAGGCTCTGGAGGGGAGCAGCATTCGGGAGGGAAGCGTGGCAACAAGGGAGGCAAGCGGTGTGGCGGCAAGTGTTGGTATTGCCATGTGGAAGGTCACCCATGGTTCAAGTGCCGCAAGCTACCTGACGGTTGGAGCCCTGGTAAGCCATCACTTGAGGGCTCCAAGGGTGTTCATGGAGCTATGGGAGAAGGCATGGGCAGTGAGGAGGGCGATGGAGGTGCTGGCGGATACGGCGGCATGTTCTATCATGTAGGAGAGGCGTGCTCCGAGGAGATGGTTGTGCCGGCCAGCAAGGTTGCTCTTCACTGCTCCTCCCATTGGGTCATCGACACGGGAGCCTTCATGACCATGACCAACCGAGAGGATCTACTGGATGAAGTCAGGCCATCAAAGGCAGCCACCGTCGTTTCAGCCACCGGCCAAGTTGTACCCGTGCGTGGCGAGGGGAGAGCCATGTTCATGGGTGCGGATGGGAGGCTTGTGGGGCTGAAGCGTGTTCTCCTTGTTCCTGGATTGTGTGCCAACCTACTCTCTACCAAGGCCCTGAGTGAGGTAGGGATGAAGATGGAGATGCTAGGCACAAAGGTTTTCGAGGCAACTCTGGATGGGCGCGTGTTGTGGGACCTCCGAGGCGGCAAGGACATGCATCGGTCTATGTGGGAGATACCGGTGCTGCCATGGAAGGAGGCGGCTGCGCGCTTGGCTGCTGGAGATGTGAGAGGAGGGCGTGTTAACCACGTGGACAATGGAGGAGGTGGTGATGACAGTGATGGTGGGCTCCTTTGGCATGGTGGGGCTGCGCTACCAAGTGCAACTTCTAGCACGGGTGAGACGGATTGGCTCACCGCACACCGTCGCTTTGGCCACGTGGCGCTACCTCAGTTGCCGTAGCTGTTCAAGGAGGAAAGAGTCAAGGGGCTGAGGATAAAGGGGGAGCCCAAGGAGGTGGGATCTTGTGAGACTTGCTTGACCAGCAAGTTTTCACGGTTTCCCTTCCATTCGGTGGAGGGGAAGTCGAGTGACCCGGTGGAGCTCGTGCATGTGGATCTCGTGGGACCCATGAAGGTGAAGGGAGATGGTGGGGCCCTGTATTCCATGACCATGGTGGATGACAACACGAGGCTCACCTGGTCCTTTCCACTTGCAAAGAAGAGTGATGCTGCAAGGGTCATCATTGAAGAGTGGCTGCCCATGGTGGAGCGAGAGAGCGGCAAGCGGGTGAAGGCGATTCGTAGCGACCGTGGTGGGGAGTTCTTGGGAGCGGAGTTCCGGAGCTGGCTGAAGCGGCACGGCATCAAGCAGCAGCTCACCACGGCCTACACCCCTCAATCCAATGGCGTGGCAGAGAGAGCGAACCGGACCATCATGGAGGGCGGGAGAACGATGTTGGTAGACTCGGGTCTACCCTTACGGTTCTGGCCCCTCGCTATTCGCCATGCCACCGTCATCAAGAACCGAGTATTGACTCATGTGGGAGGGCAGCATTGGGTCCCTATGGAGAAATGGAGAGGCAAGAAGCCTCTGGTGGATATGCTTCGAGTCTTCGGGTGCATGGGACTCGTGCACGTCCCTAAGGAGAAGCGTGACAAGCTTCAAGCGGCGGCGGTGTGGGCTGTTCATTTGGGACTTGCACAAGGGAGCAAGGGGTGGCTCATGTGGGACCCAAAAGCCAACACCATCTTCACCACCAGAGATGCCAAGTTCATGGAGGGGCTCATGTTCAAGGAGTGGTTGGAGCGAGGGAGGAGCAAGGTCACCATTCCGCTTGGAATGGAGGTGGGAACGAATGACCCACTTCTCATTCCCATCGAGTTGTCTTCATCTTCAGAGGTGACGGGGGTGTCACTTGGCTTGGGAGGTGCTGAAAGGGAGGCAGCAGAGGTGGAGGGAGTGTTGCAGCAAGAGGAGGCCCCTGTAGCTGAGAGAGGTGATGCCGAAGAAGAGGTGCAGCAGCCTACACCATCCCCTACACTTCCACCAAGGCGGACAACCCAAGGGAAGCGTGGCGCCGTCCGTGGTGGAGCTAAGGAAGGTGCAGCCAAGGAGAGGCCCAAGAGAGCTGCTCACCCAAGGGATTTCCTCAAGTATGAAAGGCTTGGGGGTCCCAAGGCATTGCTTGTCCAGGAGGAGGAAGATGATGAGGAGAAGGGAGCCGAGGGAGAGATGGAGCAGATTTGTTGCTTCGGTGTCAACTTACCTCATGAACCGGCTTCAATGGAGGAAGCACTTGCTGGAGATGATCGAGAGGCTTGGTTGGCTTCAAGGGAGGATGAGTTTCAGAGCCTCATGGAGAATGGAACATGGACCCAGACAAATCTGCCCCCGGGAAGAAAGGCATTGGACCGCACGTGGATATTACGTGTGAAGACCGATGCGGAGGGGAAGTTGGAGAGGCGCAAAACAAGGCTTGTGATCAAGTGCTTTTAGCAGAGGGAAGGGGGTTGACTTTCAAGAGGTGTTTGCTCCGGGTGTTGCTAGCAGCTGCAGCTGTTTGTGGCTGGAAGGTGGAGCAAATGGATGTGAAGACGGCGTTTCTCTATGGCGTGGTAGATGAGGAGATCTACATGAAGCAGCCAGAGGGGTATGACGATGGGAGCGGACGTGTTTGCAGGCTCAACAAGGCCATCTATGGCCTCAAACAAGCTCCAAGGTGCTGGTATGCAAGGCTGGTGGAGGCGTTGGAGGCTCTTGGCTTCAAAGTCAGCGGGTGCGACGAGAGTCTCTTCATGACCGAGGGGGAGGAGGGTCCTTGTCTACGTCGATGACATCCTCCTCTTCTCTCCATCCCTGGAGAGGATCAAGGAGGTGCAAGGGAAGCTGAAGGAGACCTTTCAATGCAAGGCCCTTGGACCAGTGGGGTATTACCTTGGTCTTCATGTGGAGCGGGATGAGGTGAAGGGATGGTTGAGGCTTCACCAACACAAGTACCTTGCAGCCATGGGGGAGAGGTATGGGCTGGAGGAAGGGAGGAGTGTGAAGACTCCTCTACCCTCAGGGTTTCAGCTACACCTTGATGAAGAGGAGGGTGAGGTGTTGGAGCCCGAGTTGCAGCGTCGGTTCCAGTCAATGGTGGGGAGCTTGATGTATGCTTCGGTCAACACTCGCCCCGATATTGCGTTCTCGGTTTCGCAGCTGGCTCGTGTGGTGTCTAGGCCCCTTCAAGAGCACCTTGATGCAGCAGAGAGGCTGGTGAGGTACTGCATGGCAACCTCAAGGGTGGGGCTGCAATATTCAGTGCATGGGCAGCTGAAGCAAAAGGGAGTGGAGGAGGTGAGCACGAAGACCGGTGCACCTGCAAGGCGTGGACACTTGTACCTCTCGTGCTTCACCGATGCTACCTGGGCAAGTGACATCAGTGATGCAACATCCCATGGTGGCTATGTATGCTGTGTTGGAGGGAGTCCAGTGAGCTGGAAGTCTAAGAAGCAAGGGGAGATAGCTCACTCATCAACGGAGAGCGAGTACATGGCGTTGTTTCATGGGGTGAAGGAGGTGGTTTGGATGAGGAGGTTGCTTGAGGAGTTGGGGCAGGAGCAAGAGGGTCCTACACCTGTGTTTTGTGACAGCCAAGGAGCAATTGCAATGGCTCGCAATGCTGTGCTCCATGGGCTGAACAAGCACATGCATATCAAATGGCATTGGGTGAGGAAGGAGGTGAAGAAGGGCACGGTCTCCTTGCACTACATCAACACTACCAAGCAACCTGCAGATTTCTTGACCAAGCGGCTTGCAGAGCATCAGCATTGGACCTGTGCCACCTTGTGTGGCATGTCCTTCAACTAAGGGAGGCAGCTTCAGGGAGCAGCTAAGGGATGAATGAGAGCACGATGAGGGGGAGTTTGTTGTGCCAACACACTACAGTGGCACGGTCATCGCACTCCCATTCAGCCTACAAGCCTGCTCAGCTTCTGGAATTTTGTGGGGAGGTGCTTCAACATGTGTTCTTCAAACCCTCAAAGTTTCAGACCTTTTGAAGCAATTTACATGGCGTGACAACATTCAAAGTTTCAAGACTTACGGCATTTCGGAAGTGTGTGTTACTCTTTTTGGTAACACCCGAGTTCACCATTTCGGCTGCTGACTCGTCTAACGAGCCCTGATTGGTCTAAAACTGGTGTGGAAGTCCTTTCCAGCGTTGTGCAGGTGGTCACCAAGTTTCATGACAGAGAATGAGACAAGAATTACAGGTGGTCAAGTGGGACTCAACCACCCTCCTTTTGAGAAGTGTGGTCTTCCTGGAAGCAGCTTGCAAGAGGGTGCAAGTGGGAAGACAAGCTGACTCATGGTTGGCTTGACTCACTATTGGTAGCCTTGAGTACAGCTCTGAACATCCAAGTGTGGTTGGCTTTGCTGACCTAGCTAGGACGTTTCCCATCCTTCTCTAGCCTTTCTCCCCTAGGACTCAACCTTCTCTGAGTTCCCAGGATGACCCCAACCCCTTAAGAGTCCCCTAGGCAATGTTGTACTCACCTCTCCCTTGCATCAATGAAACTACTCGTTTTCAGTCGAGCTTACGTTTTTGTTCACTGCGTAGCGCATACACCTCTGATGAAAGCAAGCAATATACCGTTGGAAAGCAGACACCTAAAGATGACTTCTATCCAAGTTTCAGCCTCGTATGTTATCGGAGCTGATCGTGACGGCGTTTTGAACAGAGGCGGTTTGAAGTCGTCAGATTCTGCTTAGGCGGTTTCATGGGCATCCGCGACCCCTAAGTGGACTCTAGACTATAACACTGTACGCACCCACGAACACGAGATCATGGAGGAACCAGGTGCGAAACCCGTCTCACGTGCACCATACCGACTGAGTCCGATAGAACTGACAGACATGAAAAAGCAGATCGAGTATCTACTGGACAGACAACTGATTCGCCCATCCACCTCTCCCTACGGTGCACCAGTTCTCTTCACTCCAAAACCAGACGGCAGTCTACGGATGTGCATCAACTATCGCGCACGGAATAAACAGACAGTCAAGAACAAATACCCCATACCGCGCATAGACGACCTTCTAGACCAACTGCGAGGTGCAACGATGTTTTTGAAGCTGGACCTACGGTCGGGTTACTGGCAGATCAAGATGGCGGACAACTCGATCCACAAAACGGCGTTCCGTACGAGATACGGCTATGAATACTTAGTGATCACGTTCGGACACTGCAACGCAACAGTGACGTTCCAGGCGGAGTTAAACCATATCCTACGGCCCCTGCTGGACGAGTGCGTAGTGGTGTACCTGGACGACATACTCATCTACTCCAAGAACATGAAGGAGCACGTGGAGCATCTGCGGAAGGTGTTCGAGATCCTGCGGAAAAATAAGTTCTACGTGAAGCTGTCAAAAAGCGACTTCGCCCTGAAGAAGGTGCAGTTTCTCTGGCACATGGTGAGTGCGGAGGGCGTACACGTGGACCCGCGGAAGATCGAAGCCGTTAAAAAGTGGAAAGTTCCGGAGAACGTGAAGGAGTTGCAGCAGTTCCTAGGCTTTGCCAACTACTACAACAGGTTCGTGCCGCAGTACGCTAAGATAGCAGCGCCACTGACCGACCTACTGAAAAAGGATACACCCTTCAAATGGGATACTCCTCACCAGCAAGCCATGGAGCAGCTACAGACAGCACTGACTACAGCGCCAGTACTCATCCTACCGGACCCAGACAAGGACTACGTAGTTGAAGCAGACGCTAGTGACCAGGCAGTCGGAGCAGTACTGATGCAGGACCACGGACACGGTTTACAGCCTATCGCCTATCTCAGTAAGAAGCTACACGGAGCAGAACTGAACTACCCCATTCACGACAAGGAAGCCTTAGCCATAGTCGTAGCCTTTTAAGCATGGAGGTGTACCTAGAGGGAGCGAAGACTACAGTTTACATTGACCACTGCAGCCTCGAATACCTGAAGTCGCAGCCGACTCTCTCACGACGACAGGTGCGGTGGGTGGACTTCTTGGAGACCCACTTCCACTACGACATCGTCTACAAGCCCAGGCTACACAACAAGGCAGACGCATTGGGCTGCCCAGGTCATGTAGCAGGCATCCAGCTCGACGGGATGAACCCTCTGCTCAAGGGTCTATTCCAACATGGGTACTCCGTGGACGCAGAGATAGCAACGGCAGAGAAACAGAAGCTGTTACAGTGGGAGAAAGACTTAGCTGTAAGGAAGGGATCAGGAAAGATTTGGGTACCGAACTATGCCCCACAGCAATAGGCTATCTCATCCCCACAAATCTGCTCAGCCACACTCCCAACCGGCACCACTTGGCTTTCCAAAACAAGGATAGGTCAGCCTATTAGGAGGGCGCACATCCCTCCTAGGACGCTCAAACGTACGTGCGGCACCTTGTGGGGCACCTTGCTGCTGCTGCTGCTGCTGCTCCTCCACCTCAGGTTCTCCCCCATCCTCAGTCACCCCAGAGATCTCCTCCTCTGAGACAGTAACCTCCACCTGCCTCGAAGGCCGCTGCACCTCATCGGCCTCAATAATCAGCGGTGTATCAGGAAGCTTCTGCTGCTGCTGCTTCCACTCCTTGTAGTACAAGGACTCGAGGAACTTCACATCCCTCGACACAGTCAGCTGCTGGCTGGTCAAGTCCCATATCAACCAGCCCTTGTGATCTCTTGCAAGCCCCAAGTGCACACCCCATCTCCCAGAAGCTTCCAGCTTTCCCCTCTTCTCCTTAGGCACATGAAACACCACCATGCACCCGTAAGCTCTCAGCATGTTCACCGTAGGTGCACTCCCATACCACTTGGTGTAGGGGACCCACTGCTTGTCCCCCACTGTCGCCAGCACCCTGTTCTTCACAAGGGCGACCTGCCGCAGTGCAGTCACCCAAAACGCATCCGGCAGCCCCGCACGCCCAAGGAGAGTGCGAGCACCTTCCTGCAGGGTCTGGTTGAACCGCTCAGCTATGACATTCTGTTTAGGGTTGTATGGCACTGTGAGCTGATGCTGGATCCCCTTCTTCTTCAGCACCGCCTCAAAATCAGCACCAATGAACTCTCCCCCGTTGTCAGTGCGGATCACCTTCACCTTGTGTCCGCTCTCCCTTTGTGCTCTCGGCATCCACTCCTTAAGAACCATCGCTGCCACCTCCCTCTTGGTCTTGAGAGTGTAGACCCACACCGCACGCGTGTGGTCGTCCACAATCATCAGGAAGTAGCGGCTGCCCGAGAGAGAAGGGGCCCTCGTGGGGCCCACCACGTCCATGTGCACAAGCGCAAGTGGTGCCTTGGCTGGTCCTGTGCTGCTGCTGAAAGGAAACTTCGTGAACTTTGTCTCAAGGCATGTAGGGCAGCTCCCAATCTCCTTCGCTGCCCCCTTCACCTCCAGCCCCTTCAAACTCCCATCCTTCACCAACTTCTGCAGCATCGGAATGTTGATGTGGCACAACCTCTCGTGCCACGTCTCCCAATCGGCCTCACCACTCCCAGATGAAGCCTTTGCCCATGCAGCTGTCGCATCCACACCAGCAAGCACCTCACTATATGGCTGCTGTGGCTACTTCACCTTCTTGACTGCATCCAGGGCCCCATCAGTTGGTGCAGTCTCCTTTCCTCCAGCAGTTGATTTAGCCGCTGCCGTTGCCGTTGCCGTTGCTGGTGGTTTCCCATTCCAAGGGATGATGGGCAGCTGCCACAGGTCCTTGATGTAGTTGAACTTCTCCTCCAAATCCCACAGCAGCAACTTCCCAAGCTTTGCACGGCAGCTGGTTGGGCCGAATGTAACTTTGGCCTTGCTTTTCTGCAGTCGGCGCACACATAGGGGGTTAGCGGACAAACCTTCAACCAGCAGGACATTCCCAAGCCCCACAAGCTCCCCATTGGCTCCCATCACCTTGGCATTCCCAACACCAATCACAGGGAGTAAAGCACCTGAAGCGGCAGCCACAAACTTTATATTCCCAGGGGGTTTCACCTCGTCAAGCAAATCTGCCCGTGGGGTCATGTGACTTGTGCAGCCTGAGTCGATCACCCAGTGAGTGAGTGGGTGCATCACAACCTTTCCAACCGAACCCACACCACCCTCACTCCCATTCACATCCTCAACCATGAGGAACATCCCAGGGGAGGCTTTACCTTGTGCACCATCACCTTGTGCACCTGAACCTTGCACAGCGCCACCTCGTGCGCGTTCACCACTTGGCGGCTTCATGCCTGGAGGCGCCCATCCCTCAGGCCGGCTGAAACACTTGAACCACGGGTGTCCAGCCTTCTTGCAGTACGCACCCTCCATTCAGGTGCTCCCCCTGCCACCAGAGCTCCCATGCCCCTCATTATAGTCACCTCGGCCTCTCCCTCTGCCAAAGCCTCTCCCACGGCCTCGGCCCACCTCACCCTCCCCCTCTTCCTCTGCTGCCTCCTGCAGCTCCATACCCCTCAGCAGTTTTGTTGGCAGTACCACCTCCCGTGTGGCGCCTGCGGAAGTCCTCCTGCAGGATCTGCTGCCGTAGCCACTCAGGCGTCCACTTGTCCTGCTGAGCGTTGAGGGTGGGGATGAGGTTGTCCCACGAGTTGTCGAGCACCGAGATGATCTTGGTGCATTGCTGCATCTCCGACACCTTGCTGCCCGCCGCTGCCATCCTCGCATAGGTGTCCTTGATCTTGTCAAGGACCGGCTTCACATCATCTCCCGATCGCATGGAGATGGCCGCCAGCTCCTTCTCGAGCACGATCACCATGGGCAGCGTGTTGGGCTGAATCACGTCGCGCAGTAGCTTCCATGCCTTCGGCTCCGAGTCATCGAGCTCGACCAAATCCTTGATGTGCTGGAACATGTCGTTGTTGACGGACTGTAGAATCAGGTCGTACAGCACCGCGCTCCGCTCAATCCATCGATCCCAAGCGTCTTCTTTCTCGGGCATCTTCTCCTCTCCCATCGCAAGTTTCAGCAGCTTGTAGCGCTTGAAGACGCTCCTCATCCGCCCGCTCCATTCCTCGTAGTTGGAGCCATCCAACGCCTCAATTTCGGATGGTGGCGGTTCACTCCTTTTCTCAGCTGCTTCTCCACTCCCTTGACTCATCTCCTCTGCTCCCAATCACAGGTTTCAGCTCCCGCTTTTGCTGGTCACAATGCAGATCCACAAAATCTTCACAAGTGTCGGCGCCAACAAAATTTCGGCAGAGTTTCCCCTTAGCGGAAGTCACGTGCAACCTCTAGAACTCCACTTAGGCACGCCCACAGGCCATGGTGGGTCTAGGAGGGTCTTCACACTTCAGTAGACTCTTCACAACGTCCTCAATCAGCTCTGATACCACTTGTTAGAGATTAAGGACGGAGTCTAGAAGATTAAGGGGCCGAAATATCACAAAACCGTTGGTCCTAGTTTCTGGACAGAATCATCGACTTCACAAGAAACGCCGTCGACGAAAAGTTCACTGTTAGAATCTCACAAAAACCAACTATGTTGTATCTTAAAACCGTAGCTACAATTCCTCATTTGAATCACATCAAAAGGTGAACTAAATCTTGAGTTATGAATTTTGGCGCACTGGGGGGTATGCTGCCATGGATAGTCAACTCAATCACAATTGTTCTTACAAGTTCCACAAAGAGAATTAGAGTACCAAGAAACCAGGTGGGAGGGAAGAGGAGGACGAGAGGGAAGGTCCCAAGGGAGTCTCCAACCAAGGAAACCCCACAATCACATCAAATCCCCTCCGCATAGCAACCCCACTTTTACTTTTGTCACTTTCCCAACCTCCACAATCCACCTCACCCAACTTGGCCACACTTGCCAACCTGGTTTGGCTTCTCCCAACCGCCTGGCAGCATCTACATTGATGGGGACGAATTTCCCAACCCCCAAAAGTCTGTACCCCTTATGGAGTCAACCCCACAACTTCCCATAGTTGCCATAACAAGATATTAAAAGCATACAAACTCCAAATGTTTGTAACTTTCTCGTTCGTGCTCCGATTGAAGCGATCCTTGGTTCGTCGGAAAGCTCTTGAGCAGAGGAGTCACTTCAAATATCTGCTCAAGTGGAATAACGTCCACACACGCTCAGAAAATCCAAACCACACCAAAACACGAATTCTTGCACACGCTCATACCACGCATGCAACGCACAAACATATGATGGGAGGCAGACAGACGTGAATGCGAATGATAGCATCACACAACACGTTGCATAGAGGAGCCATGCCAGCACTGCAAAAAAACGGCCTGCCAACACAGCAGGTCGACGGCGTGCCAACGCTGCAGCAGAGCGGCTGTCCAGCGTTGCACCCGTAGAAGACAGCAGTGCGCACGTATGCATGTGTGCGCAGATGATTGGCCCGACTTGCACCGTTGTGTACCTGTCGGTTGTGGTCTACGCTTGACGAGCCACATCGACTTCGGGATACCAGCCCGAAGTCGCCTTCGCCACCGTGACCGCGTTTATGAGAGTACGACGGCTTATGCTGGCTTTGCTAGCTTGCCTGGACTTTATTTTCCACCGAATTGCTTTTTACCGAGTTCAGGAAGGTTCTGTTCGGGACGCTTCGCGACCCTCAGAACATTCGCGTAACACCTGGGTTACCTGCGTTCTGTCGAGCTTATATATAGCCTCGCCTTGTACCCAGGTGAATCATTCAATTCAGAACTTCTTTCCTGAACTCGATCCTCGATCCTCGATCCTCGGTACTGAGAGCCTGTTTACACGCAAAGTTTTTCGACCGCCAAAACTTAGCTTTTAAAACCGCGGGGGCGACGACGGGAAGCGCCGATTTCGGGTACGTAAACCAGTTCCGCGCTATTCTCTAACGTCCCCCTCGAACCAGTTTTTGAATTCTCCTCTGGTTCATTGGCGAAAAAAGTTGGAATTTTGACCGTCGGATTGGTTCAAACGACCCTGAGAATTTCGCCCCAAAACGTTGGAATTTGGAGCGTCGGATCGAATTTCAGCTCAACGGCCGAGATCTGACGCGAATTTCGGCTAAGGGAGAATTACGCGACAAACAAAATTAGCGCTCATCATTTATACAGTCGATTTGATTCGTAGAAAGTCGACCAGCGCCTATATTTCAATCATTTCCTGTAAATCGCCAAATGGAGGAAAATGGTGATAATTTTGTACGAAAAAATACGGAGTTACACACCGACGTGGACCAAATGCGAGCGGCACTCCATCGAATAGAGGAGCTTCTCGCAAACCAGTCGGCAGCAACAGCGGCGACACCGACACTTCATCCAGAAGCAGCCACAGTGAATCTTGAGGCGGCACGTCCGAGGCTACCGGAGACGTTCAATCCGAATGCAAGAGGCACCGATGTCCGTCGATTCATTGCGACCCTCGAAATTTACTTCAAGGCCGTTGGCTGTACGACCCCGACACACGATGCAATGCGGATTCGGCTCGCAGCGACACTGTTGTGAGGCTCGGCGCTCGAGTGGATTTACAACAGTAAGGAGATCCGAGGCGAGGGGTCATGGACGCAGCAGCATTAATTCAACGTTTCGAACCGATCAATTCCAGCTACATGGCGCGGCAGCAGATTCATCGGCATAAACAGTACGGCTGTGTTACACAGTACACGCAGCAGATGGAGAGCCTCTTCAACCGAATTACCGACCTGACCGAAGGGGAAAAAATCCAAGCGTATACTGAGGGGCTAAAAATGGAAGTCCGTTGACAAGTGATTGCCGCGAACTACAGCAACTACCGCGACATGGTGTGTGCAGCAGAGAGATTCAATGCGGTGACGCAAGGTCAACCCGAGACACGATGCCACGTGCCAAACAGATCATTCGACACGAAGCGATCGGCACCACCCACGACCGCCGACCCGATGGATATCGACAAGATCGACGCGAAGCAGCGGCCGACAAAATACGGGAAATGTGAATTTTGCGGTGCAGTAGGACATCGACTCTTGGCATGTTGGAAAATGAAGAAGGCACGAGCGGAGCTGCAGGGCAACAACAGTGCAGCACCCCCGAAGTCAAAAGACGTGGCGACTTTGGAGCGGGCGAAAAAAGAAGAACATGATGGTGCTAATTTAAAACGTCACGACAGGCCGGCACCAGGGGAAATCGCCGAGACAAATGGAGGCTCCGCAAAACAAGACTCTGCACCGACCGGGAAACTCCAAGTTATCCTATTTAGATACTTTAACGACGGATATTACTTTTCGTGATTTTCAAACCTTCGGGGGAGATTTAGAGGCTGAGAAAAAGCCCTCTGAGATTATTCAGGTACTTGAGAAGTTGGGCAAACCACTCCGGAGCGTTGAAACGGGTCGTGCGTTCCAAGGAGTTAATATTCTCTCCCCGCAGCACAGTGTTAAGGCTCCCCATTGCCCACAGGAGAAGCCTACACAGCTGCAACGGCTTAGGGGAAGGTTCCAGGCCAAGACGAAGCTGAATCGGCCTTGGATAAATCCTTCTAACCCTGCTCAGTTGAAAACTGATATTGAGACAGCAGCTTCGAGCGCAGGACCTAGGGATGATATTTTCGACATATCCTATGATCCTAAAAGCGAGACCATCTACGGCTACTCGGAGCGGCAACAACCACTACTCCTCGAGGTGATCTGCAACGGGCGATGCCTCCAGGCACTGGTGGACAGCGGTGTGTGACCGCGGGAAGAAAGCGGAAAAGACCTGGTTTTCAGCAACGATGGTGGACGGTACGAAGCTTCCCATCCACGGCGAAGCATCCCTGCAGCTGCATATAGGGGCGTTAAGGTGGAAGCCGACGTTGCCGATCACGAACATCAAAGGGTTAGATTTCATCTTGGGACGAGATTTCCTGAAGCGGTTCAACCCCGAGATCGATTGGGTCAATCGGAAGGCGTGCATCTACAACAACGGGAAACGAGTGGAGCTGAGAAGCTGGACGGATACAGGGGACGTTCCTGAAACGACACTGGCACGGTTCGAACGGACGGTGAACGAGAGTAACACGGGTTACCTAGCACTGGTCATGGCAGCAGCAGAGGAGGAGAAGCCGAGTTCGGAGCTACCTGCAGCAGTGAAGGAGGTCTTGGAGCAGTACAAGGATATAATGCCCGGTGACCTACCCGCAGGCGTACCTCCAGCACGCACCCATGAACACAAGATCGTGGAGGAACCAGGTGCGAAACCCGTCTCACGTGCACCATACCGACTGAGTCCGACAGAACTGACAGACATGAAAAAGCAGATCGAGTATCTACTGGACAGACAACTGATTCGCCCATCCACCTCTCCCTACGGTGCACCAGTTCTCTTCACTCCAAAACCAGACGGCAGTCTACGGATGTGCATCGACTACCGCGCACTGAACAAACAGACAGTCAAGAACAAATACCCCATACCGCGCATAGACGACCTTCTAGACCAACTGCGTCATGCAACGGTGTTTTCGGAGCTGGACCTACGGTCGGGTTACTGGCAGATCAAGATGGCGGACAACTCGATCCACAAGACGGCATTCCGTACCAGATACGGATCCTACGAGTACTTAGTGATGCCATTCGGACTCTGCAATGCATCAGCGACGTTCCAGGCGGAGTTAAACCATATCATACGGCCCCATGCTGGACGAGTGCGTAGTGGTGTACCTGGACGACATACTCATCTACTCCAAGAACATGAAGGAGCACGTGGAGCATCTGCGGAAGGTGTTCGAGATCCTGCGGAAAAATAAGTTCTACGTGAAGCTGTCAAAGAGCGACTTCGCCCTGAAGAAGGTGCAGTTTCTCGGGCACATGGTGAGTGCGGAGGGCGTACACGTGGACCCGCGGAAGATCGAAGCCGTTAAAAAGTGGAAAGTTCCAGAGAACGTGAAGGAGTTGCAACAGTTCCTAGGCTTCGCCAACTACTACAACAGGTTCGTGCCGCAGTACGCTAAGATAGCAGCGCCACTGACCGAAAAGGGATACACCCTTCAAATGGGATACTCCTCACCAGCAAGCCATGGAGCAGCTACAGACAGCACTGACTACAGCGCCAGTACTCATCCTACCGGACCTAGACATAGACTACGTAGTCGAAGCAGACGCTGGAGACCAGGGAGTCGGAACAGTACTGATGCAGGACCACGATACGGTTTACAGCCTATCGCCTATCTCAGTAAGAAGCTACACGGAGCAGAACTGAACTACCCCATTCACGACAAGGAAGCCTTAGCCATAGTCGTAGCCTTCAAAGCATGGAGGTGTTACCTAGAGGGAGCCAAGACTACAGTTTACACTGACCTTTGCAGCCTCAAATACCTGAAGTCGCAGCCGACGCTCTCACGACAACAGGTGCGGTGGGTGGACTTCTTGGAGACCCACTTCCACTACGACATTGTCTACAAACCCGGGCTACACAACAAAGCACATGCGTTGAGCCGCCCCGGTCATCTAGCTCAACGGGATGAACCCTCTGCTCAAGGGTCTATTCCAACATGGGTACTCCATGGACGCAGAGATAGCAACGGCAGAGAAACAGAAGCTGTTACAGTGGGAGAAAGACTTAGCTGTAAGGAAGGGTTCAGGAAAGACTTGGATACGAACTATGCCCCGCTACGGCAGATCCTACTAGAGGAGTTTCACGACATTCCATACGCGGGACATTTCAGGAGCAACAAGACGTTAGCGGGAATTGCAGAGTAATACGGCTGGCCATGGATGGCAGCAGACGTGCAGCAGTTCGTCACCTCATGCGACACATGCCAGCGGATGAAGAGTAGCAAGCAGAAAAAGGCAGGGTTACTTCAGCCTCTACCCGTACCGGAGCAGCCATGGCAGGTCGTTAGCCTCGACTTCATCACGGGACTTCCTTCGACCTCACGAGGGCACGACGCCATCCTCGTAGTGATCTATAAGTTCTCTAAAATGGGTCACTTCATACCGACCAACGCCACAGCTACATTTGAAGCAACTGAACGCCTCTTCTTTGACCGCATCATCACCATCCACGGCATTCCTGCTACCCTCATCTCAGACAGAGACCCTAAATTTACGAGTAAGTTCTAGAAGGAGCTCATGGGACTGTTGGGGACTAAGTTGGCGATGTCTTCAGCATACCATCCCCAGACTGACGGACAAACGGAGCGACTCAATCAGGTGGTTGAACAGTTACTGCGCACAGCTTGCAAAGACGACGTCAGCCACTGGGATCTACAGTTACCGACCCTAGAGTTCGCTTACAACAACGCCTCGCATGCGGCCACAGGAAAAACCCCTTTCTTCCTGTGTTACGGACGGGAACCACTCACACCACAGCAGCCAACCACACCGGCACACGTCCAAGCCGCACACGACTTCATCACCACCATGCAGCAGCTATGGGAGAAGACTCAGCGACGTCTCACCACGATGCAGAACTCCCAGAAGCAGCGACGAGATCACTTAGTAGCAGTCGGAGATCAGGTGCTTCTTGACACGCACAACTTGAATTTGTCTCACCTCCCATCCAAACTCCGGCCTCGCTTCTGTGGTCCATTTCTCGTGGAGGCACAGGTGACACCAGTTACATTCCGCTTGCGCTTACCAGATACGTGGAAGCTTCACAACGCTTTCCATGTTCAGCTACTAAAGCCCTACAAGGACCCCAACCAACAGTTCCAGGGACGGCAGCTACCGCCACCACCACCTGTACTCGTACAGGATGAGCTTGAGTACGAGATCGAACGTGTTCTCACTCATCGGCGCCGCGGCGGCAAGACCCTCGAGTTCCTAATACGCTGGAAGGGATATGACCACTTGTTAGAGATTAAGGACTGAGTCTAGAACGTTTAGGGGCCGAAATATCTCAAAATCGTTGGTCTCGATTTCTTGACAGAATCGTCGACTTCATAAGAAACGTCGTTGACGGAAAAAGCACAGTTCGAATTATCTCAAACTCGTATGTTGTAGCCCTAGACCGTGGCTACATTTCGCAATTTGAATCGTGTCAAAAGGTGATGCGAAACCGGAGTTATGAATTTCGGCGCACTAGGGGGTATGCTGCCATGGAATATTAACTCAATCACAATTATGTACACAAGTTCATACACAAGGAAGTTGGAGTAGCTAGAAACCAGGTAGGAGGGAAGAGGAGGACGAGAGGGAAGGTCCCAAGGGAGTCCCCAACCAAGGAAACCCCATGCCACACAATTTCCCTCTCTATAAGCAACCCAACTTTGACATTTGTCACTTTCCCAACCTCCACAATCCACCTCACCCCAACTTGGCCACACTTGCCAACCCAATTTGGTTTCTCTCAACCACTTGGCAGCATCTACAGTAGAAGTCACGAATTTCCCAACCCCCAAAAGGTATATACCCTATATTGAGTCACTCGACAAACTCCCAAAGTCGCCGCAACACAATCAATACTTCGAACGATCATAACTTCGTCGTTCTTGCTCTGATCGCAACGATTCTTGGTTCCTTGGAAAGCTCTTGAGAAGAGCAATCATTTCAATTATCTGCTCAAGCAAAATAACATTCACACACACTCACAAAATCCAAACCACACCAAACACTAATTATTGCACACGCTCACGCTACGCATGCAACGCACGAACATATGATGGGAGGCAGACAGACGTGAATGCATATGATTGCATCACACAACATTGACGTGGACCGTTGAAGACTCGGGCGACTGCCAGCGAGGTAGCTTAACCCAGTTACCGCTACTTCGCGCAGTGCAGTTGCCCGTCGTCCAGTCGATTCGTGGGTTATACCTTCGCAGCCAATCACGCCCCAGTAAAATATCGTGCCCATCCAGTGTCGTCGCAAGCATTCCCTATGTAAACCCGAAGTTCCCCCCGCAGCGAACTTTTACCCTCTCCACCTTTTCCCGTATGGCCAGCGGTGTGCTGTCAACTAAGCGCGCATCAATCTCCGGTAAGCACCGGCTAAGCGTCAGTTGCAGTCTCCGTGCGGTCGCGGTATTTACTAAGCTGTGACTTGCTCCTCCGTCGATGAAGATCTTCACTGCTGCTCCCTGTATTTTCCCGTGGATCAGTACTGGGCAATCCGTCGCTGTACCCTCCTTATTCATCCGAGCCCGATCGATAGCGTGAATCGGTACTGTGACTCGGTGAGGGTCGGTGAGGTTGGGCGAGCAGGCAGTCTCGTCAGTAGTTGGCCCAACTTCTACTGACTGCTGGCGTTTCCCTGCCTCTGAGACTCCCTCCCCTGCTCTGCTCCGCGGCGCCTCAGCTCCTCTGGGCATTCGCTCTTGCGATGGCCCGGCCTATTGCAAGCAAAGCAGCGCCCCTTAAATGGCGCGGCAGCTGCATTCCTCGCAACAGCATGTACAGTGGCGTGCTCGGTTGATCCCCGAGGACGATGTCCGTAGTAGGACCCCGGTCTCGGACGGCGCAAAATGTCGATTTTCTTGGCGAGCGAGAGGATCTCGTTGAAATTCGAGAGCCCACGTAGCATGATTTCGTGCGAGATGTCCGCCTTCAGCCCCCCGACGTACATTGAACGAAATAATTGTCCACATGCCCGACCGGGGTTTTTTTTTTTTTTTTTTCCCGCGGGCAGGGAGCTCCTCCAGGCGGACTCGCTTGTCGGCTGAGCTACACTGAGCCATGGGTACTCCTTAGAAAGTACAACTTTGTTAGGTTGCTTATTTTGTATCCCTCTCGATGCTAGTCTCCACATTCCATTGCATTCACTTTCTGAGATGGTATCACGAGTAGGTTTCGAATCCTTGCCTAGCCTAGCCTCCCTCCGCGCCTCCGCGCTCTAGAGTGCCTCCGCGCCTTAAGCGCCCTCCGCGCCCTAGCGCCCTCCGCGCTTTAGCGCCCTTCGCGCCCTAGCCTCCCGTAACGCGCCCTCCGTAACGCGCCCTCCGCGCCCTCCGCGCCCTCCGTAACGCGCCCTTCGCACCCTCCGTAACGCGCCATCCGCGCCTCCGCGCCTAGCCCTCCCCTGCGCGCCCTCCACGCCCCCCGTATCGCGCCCCTGCCCCAGCCCATCATGTCGCCCGTTACCCCTGCCCCAGCCCGTCGCGTCGCCCGTGCGCCCTGCCTTAACTCGTCGCGTAGCCCGTGCGCCCTGCCCTAGCCCGTCACATCTGTCGAGAGAATTAGGCAAAAGAGGAATGAACTAGCAAGAATGGGGATACAAATAGCAAACCCTAGAAGGGTTGTACTCGCTACAGAGCACCCCACTACAGGCTAGAGCATAATATTCTGACACACCCCCATAGCCAAAGTGGGGTGTAATCAGCAGAGGAAACAAAGCAGTACAAGCTCAGGGTGGATCACGATGTCACCACACATTCTGAGCACAAGCAAGAAGCAATAGTTTAAGGTTCACAATTATGAGCAAAGCTAGAGGCAGTCACAGGGGGCAAGTGAGGAGGAGGAGGGCTGGCGAGAGGAGAGTAGATAGGAGGCGACGACTGAAGCTGCAGACACACGGGCAACAGACGGCTCTGGTGCGACAACGTGGCTACCGGGAATGAGTGCCCCGGAGTAACAGGCTCCGCGGCTAATATGCGCGGCAGGAGCAACGGACCCACAGGCGACGGCGCAACCGGCTCTCTGAGCTACCGGTGGCTAATCGACCCCCGGAATACAGGCGCTGCGGACGACACGACGGCGGCCTCCGCTCAACCTCCTCCAACTGTCCCACACCCCTCGACACACACCCCCTGCTGAACCCCTAGCTCCACTCCCACGGCACCCCCCTTTAAACCCTAACCCTCGGCTCCCACACATCCACCCCCCTCAGCGGCAGCTGCAGCAGTGGGAGACGGCGCACACACACGGCACCCCCATAGCTGCCACCCCCACACTCCTCACCCCCAAACCCTAAAAACGGGCGGAACGGGGGAAGGAGCACGGGGGACGGCGAGGGGGACGGCGCGCGGCCCCCAGGACGCCACCACGGGGCAGCGAGGGGCCGCGCGCGGCTCCCCAGGGCGGCGCGACGGGAAATCGGGGGGGGGGGGGGGGGGGGGGGGGGGGGGGGGGGGGGGGGGGGGGGGGGGGGGCGACGGGATCGCGGGGCCGCGGGCGACGGGATCGGGGGGCCGCGGGCGACGGGATCGCGGGGCCGCGGGCGACGGGATCGCAGGGCCGCGGGCGACGGGATCGAGGGGGCCGCGGGCGACGGGATCGCGGGGCCGCGGGCGACGGGATCGGGGGGCCGCGGGCGACGGGATCGCGGGGCCGCGGGCGACGGGATCGGGGGGCCGCGGGCGACGGGATCGGGGGGACGCGGGCATCCCCCACGGGAGGAAACCGCCGCGCGCCTCGGGGCGCACGGCGGGGAGAAACCCGCCGCACGCCCCGAGCGCGCGGCAGGAAGGAGGCGTCGCGCGACCAGTAGAACAGCAGCGGAAGCATTTGGTGGTGGGCCCACCCACAGGATCGACCCAACAGGATCGTCCTGCTCTGATAGCATGTCGAGAGAATTAGGCAAAAGAGGAATGAACTAGCAAGAATGGGGATACAAATAGCAAACCCTAGAAGGGTTGTACTCGCTACAGAGCACCCCACTACAGGCTAGAGCATAATATTCTGACAACATCGCCCATGCACCCTGCCCCAGCCCGTCACGTCGCCCGTGCGCACTGCCCCTAGCCCGTGCGTGCCCGTGTGCCCTGCCCCTAGCCCGCGCGTCGCCCTGCCCCTAGGCCACGTGCCCCGCAGGTAGCGCGC